GGGCCTGAGAGGGGACAGGAGGAAGTTGGCTGCTTGATGAGCAAGGCAGGACTGTGTCCAGTACTGGCTCAGAGTCCACTACCCCTTCTCATACAGCTGGGCCTCCCTCAGGGCCTGGGTAGGGGGGCTGTGCACCCCTGCACCAGGTGGTTGCTGGGCACCCAGTCAATGTGGGTGAAGGAATGGAGGAAATGGAGCCAAGCACTCAATAGTGGGTGGGAGTTCTGACCTACTACTCTCTCCCTCGTTTCTCTCTCTCTCTCTCTCTCTCTCTCTCTCTCTCTCTCTCTCACACACACACACACACACACACACACACACACACACACGTGGATTTGCTCTTCCCTTTGATGGCTCAAGGTCCTTGGGCTAAGCCACTTTGCATAGAGTCTTTGAATCAGCTCCTGAGGCTTCCTGCCTGCCCCCCACTGACTAGCAGGAGCTAGATCCTGGGGAAAGGAAGCCAAATGCCAGACCAGGAGAAGTGAGCTGGGAGATTGTTCACAATAGCAAAAGTGGAAACAACCCAATGACCACCAACTGATGAATGGATAAAATGTGGCATATCCATACAGTGGAATATCATTCAGCCATTAAAAGGAACACTGCTGATACATGGTACTACATGGATGAACCTTAGAACATTAGGCAGATACAGAAGGTCACATAGGAAACGATTCTGTTTATGTGAAACATCCAGAATAGGCAAATCCTTGTAGGCAGAGCACAGACTAGTGGCTGCCTAACAAAGGTAGGGGTGGGCAGGGGCGATGAGTAATGGTTACAGCTCTGGGGGACAGTGACATTCTAAAATCGACTGTGGAGATGGTGGCACAACTATGTGCGTATACTGAAAATCACTGAATCGTATACTTTAAGCAGGTGAATTGTATGTTGTATCAATTATATTTCAGCAAAGCTGATCCCAAAAGAGAAGGGCGAGGGGAAAGTGAGATGGAAGCATTTTAAATAATTCTTCTTCTTTTTCTTTCTTTCTCTCTCTCCCTCCCCTCTCCCCTCCCTCCCTCTCTCTAGTTTCCCTTGGTTGTGGAGGTTGTGTGAGACCCAGCATCTCAACTCCAGGAGCCCTAGCCCCCGTTCTCTAGCTGCCTGGGGAGGGGCTGTCTTGCTCCTTCTGCAATCAATAGAAGCAGCCAAGTGCAAGGAAGGAAAACAGTCCCACCTCTGGAGTCCGGGTCTACGTTGGAATCCTGACATCCTGACACCGACACACTGGAGATCTGTGTGCGCTCCAGCTAGTCACTCCACCTCTCTGAGCCTCATTCCCTTCGGACAAGTCATCGAGAGAAGAGAGTCCACCACGACGTCTCGTGAGCGCGCGTGGAACACAGGGGGCTCTCAAGCAATTGGCAGAATTAGGACTTGGTCCGGGCTGTGCCACACGAGGGGCTGGGCCCATCCCTGGGCAGGAAAAATCCGGTGTCTTGGAGGCAGCGGACACCCACCCTGCCCCCCGCAACCGGGGCCAGGAAGGAAGCCAGGGCGCGCAGGGGCGCGGAGGCCGGGGCCGGGAGCCCAGGCGGAGGCCGGGAGCCGGGCCGCAGCCGCCGCTGCTCATCCATCAGCCGGACGAAGAGCAGAGTCGCGCTCTCCGCCCTCTGTTTGCTTTCTCGCCAATTATTGCCGCGCCGCAGCCCCTTTGTTGATACAGTAGTCCGAAAAAGTGCTAATGTCCATTTATCAGGGGGCCCGCCGGGGACTCCCACGAGTTGCGATTCTTCCCAAAATATAAACACGGGGCGAGCGTCCCAGACAGAAACCCCCATCTGTTTCCCCGGCGCGGCCGAGAGCGAGGCGTTGTTGAAGATAAAGCCGCGGATAACGCCGCCTGTCTCCAGTGGACGTCTCCCCGGCGCATTAATGACATTCCCGGCGATAGTTCCCGCTTATCTTTCAATTAATCATATATACCTTTTGCGGGCGGCCCCCGCGGATTGCAGGAAAGGGGGACCGGCTCTAGCAGCCCCCGTTCGCTTTTCAATTAATAATAATTTATTTGCGCAGAATGCGCTCGGAGTCGCCCTGGAAGGTCACCGATCTTAAAGCACCAAGTCTCTAAAAGGCAACGAAGTCGGTGCACAGCTTTCCCGTCCCTCGTTCTGTCTTTCAGCTGAGGACTGTCTGTCCTGCCAGGTTGGTCAAAGTGCGGACAGAGAGGAGGCCAGGTTGGGCCCTCCGCCCTTGGAAGAAAGTCGCATCCGGGCTGGGGCTGGAGAATCAAATTTCGACCCACCCCACCCGCAGCCATTGCGTATTTAAAGAAAAAAAAATTGTTTTGTTTTGTTTTATTTTTTGTACTCGCTCAGAAACAATCAAGACTGCAAAGCAAGATGCCCCGATTTTTATTTTGCGAGGTATTTATCCAGTTTTGCCCTGTTTCCTCTCTCCCCAAATTCCAGGGCTTTTTCTGCAGCCGAGAGAAACTAATATCAGATTTGCACAGGATATAAGGGTGGAAAAGTCAGATTTTTTTCTCCAAATAGGACGGGTTTTCTTCCCTTCCCTCTTCATGAACCTGACCCACAGATCTATCTACTCGGGGGTAACTCCTATATCTGAAAATAGGTGATAAATCTTCACTGCCTTGATTTGCAAAGGAAATGCAATTTTTTTTCTTTCTTAGGACTATCTCCTTTAAAAAAAAAATCTCAAAACAGGGATCCCGGATGCAGCCTCGATGTCCCCCATTAAACGGTAATATTTCAGGCGTCGGCCCACACTAATCTTTCAAACTGTCATCGCGAGCCGCGGGCCAGCGGATTCACTTAACAGCGCTCCCAGGACCCCAGCTCCGAGCTCTTTTCAGCGAGACGTTTAATTGAATCGGATGTGGCTCGTTTGCCAGACATCACCGCCTCGGTGATAGGCATCCTCTCCCACACCCCAAAAACAGTCTTCAAAGGCCAGCGGCGGGCCCCCAAGCTAGGTGAGCCGAGAGCAAGTGAAGAAGAAAAAACAGGTTGCAGGGGAGTCGAGGGAGAAGCGGTGGGGGGACCAGAAGTGTTCCTGAGGCCCAAGAGCCCACGCTTGGGGAAAAGGCATTCTCCGTCCGCAGTGCGGTTCACAAGTCCCAGGACGAGCGACATCCCTGACTGCGGCCCCCGGGCCTGGGACTGACGGCTGGCGCCTAGAAGCCTGGGTTGCTGGCAGCGCCCTCGCAGGGAGCCTGCAGGCCTTGGGAGTTTGGATTTGATGAGAGGCAGTTTGGGACCCAACCAGGCCAACGCTAGTCACCGCTGGGCCCCCGACGCTGGTGCCACCCGACGGCTCACAGTCCCGCTAGAGCACAACATTCATATCCTGGACAGACGCCCGGGTAGCCTCTGCGCTTTGCTCGTTCCCGCTGCGCTTCGGGCGAGCATTCAGGGCCCTCGGGTTGGTGATGTCCTGAGCCAGTCTTTGGTGCTGCATCCCCTTTCACCTATTTAAACCCTCTTGCCAGGTGCCCGACCAGCCCTCCCCAGGAGCTGAGCCCTCCGCAACTCCTTCTTCTGCAAGCCGGCGCACCCTGCCCAGGCCCTGCCTGCACTAGCGAGGCTTTTCCAAAGACAGGCCTCTCCATCCCAGGCGGTAGGTAGGGTAAGGCGATCGCCTGGCCCCTCTGTCTAGAAACTACCAACAAATAAGCGCCACTGTGCAGCGTTCTAGACTGGGGGTTGGGGGCTGAAGGCCCAGTTTTCCTCAGCTCTCCCAGCCTCTCCTGGGAATAAGGGCGGCCACCCAGCATCTGGCAACTTTATTTGTGCTTCCTAAACCCTGGCAGATGTATCTGGCAGAAGCGATCTGCTTTAGTGACCCTGGACTAAAAATGACCATCTCACCTGTCCTGTCCCCCCTGCTGCCTGAGCCTGAAGTCAGGAAGCCCTACTCGAAGCACAACCCAGATGCCTGGGAGAGTTCCTGGCCTCCAGAGCTGCGGTTGTGGCTCATTGGTAGAGCGCTTGCCTAGCTGGTGTGAAGCACTGGGTTCCATCCTCAGCACCACATAAAAATATTAATTAAATAAACATATAAAATGCAATAGTGTATTCTACTATTATATATAACTAATTAAAGCAAATTTAAAATTTTTAAGAATGCAATTTTTTTTTTTTTTTTTAAGAAAGAAATCCTGGCCTCCTTGCCTGAGAGCTAAACCTGGTCTGGGGCTCAGGGGAACTGGAGATGGCAGAGGCTGGAGGGCCTTGAAGCTGGACAGGGAGAGTAGAAGAAAAAGGGGGGCAGGATTGGTGGGCTCCAGAAGAGGAAAAAAGGGGCGCTGGTCTTGCTGTGCCCCCCTAAAGAGAGCTCCCTCCTGTCTCATTATTAAGGGGTGAGTCACTGCCCTGGGAGGGTACTGGTGTGAATGGCAGCCCTGGAGTTGTGGCTAGCAACTTGCTCTGTTGAAAGTGGCCCCTTTCACCCACAGTCATCCACCTTGAATTTTCTTAAAATGTGACTCACCCAGGAGCCCTCGGGGGCCTGGGATACCTGGGAAGGAGGGACCCCTGAAACATGACTGTGTGTAAAACCGAGATGCTCCTCTAGATTTCCAGAATCCCCCCTCTTGCCCTCACCCCAGAACAATCTTCTCTTCTTATTCATTCTCTTCCCAGCCAGGCACACCTCTGCAATAAAGCCTTAAAGACCCCTGGAAATAACCCCTCTCCCCCAACTTCTTACCCCACCCTTCACTCTCCCCTTCATTTGTGGGTGCCATTTTTCCCCAAATTCGAGATCTACCCCAACTGGCCCAGAAGCCCAACTAGGAGGAGAATAAGGTCCTTGCCCACGTCTGGGTTTTTCAGGCTAATGTAGAACAATCTCAGGCTCCTGGAGCAAAAGGAGAGTTCCAAATGCGTCGTGGCCCCTTTAAAAAAGCTGAGCAGGATTTTTTTTTTTTTCCTAGCCGTATGACTATATTAGGTGACACGAAACTGCCCGTCGCTCCTGTCATCGAGGCCCCTGGCCCAATGGCAAGCTGAATCCCCCTCCTCGGTCCTGGTCCCGCCTCTCCTACCCCTTGTGCTCAGCGCTACCTGCCGCCCGGCCACATCCAGAGCAGGAAGGCGGGTGCGCAGGCGGTGGGCGGCGGGCACCATGCAGGGAGGCTGCCCAGGGCCGCGGGCAGCGCCACTCTCTGCCGCCCACCTGGCGCTGTGAGACTGGCGTGCCACCATGTTCCCCAGCCCTGCACTCACGCCCACGCCGTTCTCGGTCAAAGACATCCTGAACCTGGAGCAGCAGCAGCGCAGCCTGGCCGCCGGGGAGCTCTCCGCGCGCCTGGAGGCCACCCTGGCGCCCGCCTCCTGCATGCTGGCCGCCTTCAAGCCCGAGGCCTACTCCCGGCCGGAGGCGGCGCCTGGCCTCCCAGAGCTGCGCGCGGAGCTGGGTCCTGCGTCTTCGCCCCCCAAGTGCCCGCCTGCTTTTCCCGCCGGCCCCTTCTATCCGCGAGCCTACGGCGACTCCGACCCGGTCAAGGACCCTCGAGCGGATAAGAAAGGTAAGGGGGAAACACCGGCCCCTTTCCCCTCTCGGGTCGCTTTCACCCCCAGACCTCTCCGCCCAGGAACCCGGGCCCTGGAGGAGGAAGAGCGCGCTTGGGCCAAGGGCTGGTCGCAGAGAGCTCCAAGTGTGAGATACTAAGTTGTCGTGAGGGTCCCCGCGACCAGTGTTTAGAGGAAATGCCGGAATGAGGGGATCAGAAAGGAGAGACCAAAAACCGTGGGGGTTTTCAGCCTAACAAAGCCTCCGGCGGCTGCGGCCCTGCTCTTGGATCTGTGGCGAAGTCCAGCGATCACTTGTGGTAGAACAAAGCGAGAAACAGAATCTCTGCGCCAGAGGATTTAGTATCGCTTTGGGGTGTCGGGTCTGTTGGGGATCTAGGAGAGTGCTAAACACAAATCAGAGCGCCGCACAGCAGACAGGCTTGGGCGCACAATTGGAGAGGAATCCTGGCCTCCGCAATTTCGGGGGCCTTTTCTCCTTTGGGCCAAGAGCGTGCAGTCTTTGGGAACAAGGGCCTGGACTTTAAAATGGGATACTGCGGACCCTCTGAAAAATGCTTTAGTTTTATTTTTCCAGCACGGTTTCCGGACAGGGCCAGGGCCAAGAGGTTCTCTCATGGGATACGTTAGAAAATGCGCGCCACTGATGGCCCCGGGAAGAGAAAGCTGTGAAAAGTGACTGGATTCACTCTCAGGACATCCACGTGGAAGTGGGTAGTGGGGAGCCTGATCTGCTCACAGAAAGGCGGGGGCTAGGGAGACCAGGGCCCAGCTCCGGGTCAGTTGCGAGCCGGTTGGAGGGCTGGGGTGCTGTAAACCCCAGTAAGCCAGAAAAGGATTCCTAGGTTTGTCTAGGAGCAGAGATGTGGCCCGGGAGCCTCTGTGGGCGACTAGAATTGATTGCGAACTGAATCCGGCTTGAGTAAGCGGGCAAGGTTCCCCTGCCAACCCGCGAAAGCTTGGACATTGCGTAAATGCTGAGCCGGCTACCAGGAGTCTTTGATTACCAAACCAGCACCTCTTGGCCTCTGTTTCTTTGTTTCCTTAATTTTGACACAAAGTGACCCGCCTCCAGGGTGAGAACTCCGGCTTCCCTTCACTTCACTCCTCAAACCAAAATAATCCAAATATAATTCACCCCAGAGCATCACTCGTTTTTGTTTTTATTTGTTCTTTCTTGGCAGTCTGAAATCTTAACCACGGGGGTCTCGCTCACCAGGGTGAACTGCCCCAGAGCAAACACTTCTCTTCTCCAGCGCCTAGGGCTTTCCCTGGCACTTAGGTTTTCAACAAATGCTTAACTGTCAAGGGAAAATCGCTCGGCGTCCATGGAGCCTAGTGCCAAGTTGGTCGTTCCAGGCAGGACAGGGTGGCACCCACGAGGACCTGTTACCTGCTACCTGGTGCTACTGGCTTCGGGCCGCTCTGATCAAACGTCTTTCTACCTTTCTGTTCCCGCTCAGAGCTGTGCGCGCTGCAGAAGGTGGTGGAGCTGGAGAAGCCGGAGGCGGACAGCGCGGAGCGTCCCCGGGCGCGACGACGGAGGAAGCCACGCGTGCTCTTCTCGCAGGCGCAAGTCTATGAGTTGGAGCGCCGCTTCAAGCAACAGCGGTATTTGTCCGCTCCGGAGCGCGACCAGCTAGCCAGCGTGCTGAAGCTCACGTCCACGCAGGTCAAAATCTGGTTCCAGAATCGGCGCTACAAGTGCAAGCGGCAACGACAGGACCAGACTCTGGAGCTGGTGGGGCTGCCCCCGCCTCCGCCGCCGCCTGCCCGCAGGATCGCGGTGCCGGTACTGGTGCGCGACGGCAAGCCGTGCCTAGGGGACTCGGCACCCTACGCACCTGCCTATGGCGTGGGCCTCAACGCCTATGGCTATAACGCCTACCCCGCCTACCCCGGCTACGGTGGTGCGGCCTGCAGCCCGGGCTACAGCTGCGCCGCGGCTTACCCCGGTGCATCTCCCGCAGCGCAACCCGCTTCGGCTGCAGCCAATAGCAACTTCGTGAGCTTTGGCGTCGGGGACTTGAACGCTGTGCAGAGCCCCGGTGTTCCGCAGGGTAACTCGGGAGTGTCCACCCTGCACGGTATCCGAGCCTGGTAGGGAAGGGACCCGACCGGATCCCACCTTAGGAGAAGGGCATTGACTCTGGGGAGAGGAAGGGCCCCCGCCACGACCCTGGCCCTGCGTCCTTGGGTTTCACATTTACTCCTGGGGAGGGGGGGGTCTTGGAACTTTTTCCCGCCTTATTTACCTTTTCCCCAGGCGCGTTCACACAGCCTGCGGTGAGTGATCGCGCAGTCTGGTGTCTTGGTTACTGCCCTGGGAGTGCCCTCCGAGCGCCCAAGGGCACCTCCGACTGACCCAACACCAGCGATTCGGGACCGAGAGCCCGGAGGCGCGCGGGCCTAAGATCCAGCCGCTTTTTCTCGAGCCTGGGCCGGGTGCCTGGGATCTTGCTGCCTTGTTGCTGCCCACCCACCCACCCGTATTTATGTTTTTACCTATTGCTGTAAGAAATGAGAATCCCCTTTCCATTAAAGTGAGTGCGCTGACCCGGTACGTGTGCTTCTTTCAGCTCGCGCGGTTCAAAAACGGACTTTCTAAGGCGGAGACAGCCAGAGGATCCCAGGGCCAGACTTGCGCTGTGCCAATTAACGCACGCGGGGCCCCTTATCAGGACTTTCTAGGATTGTCTCATATAATCTAAGAGAAATCCTATGTTGAAGTTTAGCAACTGTGGACTGCAGAGGTTTAATGACTTGCCTCCAACGAACTAGCCAGAATCAATGGAGCTAGCTGTTTGATTCTTTCACTTTAGTGACTGATGGTGCTGGTCTGGTCCCCAACCACATCTTGGATTCTAAAATGTGCCAGGCAGACACTGTTACAGGTCCTGGGCACTAAATGAAAGGCAAAAGTGCAGTGTACTATGCTATTGGAACAGCACCATGACTGATCCTATTTAAAAGAATGCCTTAGCATATTTCCCAGATGCAAAAACGGAGAACCAAGGCCCTGGCCCTGTTCCTATTGGACAAGATACTCCTAATGGATTTGTACCTCACGGTCCCCTGCCTAGGCTTCAACTGCTGCCCAGCTAGGTTGAGCAGACCCTAGAAGCAAACAGGGCTCACCTTCGGCTGTGGCCAGATGGCAAGAATCCACATGGGCAGGGAAGACCCTGTGCCCTAACCTGGCTGGTGTGTTTCCTTAGGACACTTAACTAATTTCACCATAGATGGCCCAATTTTATAAAATGCTATTGCTGTACCAGTTTTACAGATGAGAAAACTAAGGCTTGATGAAATCAAGATAAAAACATGCTAGTGGGAGGGTTCACCTACTGTGCCCATTCGTGGTTGTTGTGTGTAAACTGGGGGAAAAGAGAACCTAGCTCCAAGTCCCTAGGGGCTCAGACCCAACCTCTAACTTGTCTATCCCCAACCCCCAGGGCCAGAGGAGGAACTATTCCAGCTTTATAAAAGGAACAAAAGGGAGGGGGAGCCGGTGTTTTGTGTATCCAAGGAATAAGGGGGTTTTGTTTCTTTTGTGTTTGATATTTGTTCGGAAAGCACTGGGCTGGCTGCATTGGGCATCAGGGCATCGGCCGAGAGCTTTCAGAAGCAGCAAAATATAGCCAATGGAGTCCAGGGACAGCGCTGCTCACTGTGCCCCTGATACCAGGAAAAGTAGCTGGACCAAATCTGGAGCAATCAGGGGCTGTCTTGATGCCTCTATGGGAATCCCACAGCTCTGCCAGTGCCTTTGAGTCATCTCTTTGGGTAAGTGCAGCCCCACCCCCGCTGCCATCCCCATGCACCTGAGAAAGAGGGTAAGATTTGAGCTAATGCAGCCACTTATTTAAAGCCCCACCCCGACTTGTTCAGTGGTAAGCCACATTGGATAAGGGAGCACTCAAGATGGGCTAGGCTGTGGGAAGCCAAGGGAAAGGGTTGTGCCCAAGGCTTGCCTAGGAGTCACCAGCCCTGAATTCCCTTTGTTGTCAGGTCCAGGCTGGGCTGGCATGTCCACAGGTAGCTGGGCATGTTCAGCCTAAGAGCCTGCTGGACCAAGGATCCCAGTCCCTCTGTAGTGAATGCTGAGCTCTCTGCTCCTCTGTGCTGAGCACAGCGGTTCTGTCAGCCCGGGCTGCTTCTCTAGCACGCAATCTGACTCGCTGTCTGGGAAGCCCTGCTACCCAGAGCCATCCACTTGTGCACTCCTAAGGAGATCCTCTGGGCCTTACATACCCCTGAGCTGCTTTCATCTACTTCATGTGACATCTGTCTGCAATGACATTAGAAGCAAAATTTCTTTCACTTAACAGCCACACTTCATCTCCCCCACATTTGGTGATGTTGAGGATGGAACCCGGCCTCGGGCACAGGCGCCCTACCCCCGAGCTCTGTCCCCAGCCCTCCGGAGGATTTGTCCAGGATGCCTTTCTCTTTGTCACCCTGTTTTCAGGGACCAGGTGAGTGACTCCAGGGTCTCCTGAGCTAAGAGAGGAATAGCAACAATAGGCATTTGCGGAAGGACCAACTTGCTCCACGAACTTTTTCTAATATAACCGATTCTCCTTTGCAGACTGGGAAACCCAAGAGGTAACGCCAACCGTCCAAGCCATGTGGTGGTGGGCGAGGCCGGGAAATGCGCGGAGCCCCTCCTGGAGGGCGGAGGGGAGCGTGGCTTTGAAGCCAGCGCGGGCGTTTTAGGGGCGACCCTCCAGTTCGGACGCCACGGACTGGCCCAAGCCGCAGCACGGAGTGGACCCCTGGCGAAGTCACAGCCTCAGGGGTCGGGTCAGCCGCACTCTGCAGTGGGAGTTGCTCTAGGAAGAGGCGCCAGGGGGCTGGCCGGCCCAGCTCCCAAGCCCTCAGCCCTGGCCCAGGCTCTCATCCAAGTGGATTGGAGCCGGAGCCAAAGCGCACTGCGGGGAAGGTCCGCGGCTCCCCGCCCCGCCGCGATTGGATGGGTGTTGTTTTGTTTATCAATTATTATATATAAACGACGTGATGGGGTGAGGACAGTGGAGAGGACAGAGAAATGGAGAGAAAGGAAAAGCGAGTCGGTGGAAAGCCTTCGGGTTGGGGCCGGGCGGCGTGGGCTCCGCAGGCCTGGAGCGCCAGGGACACGCGACCGTTTTTACTAATTTTTGAAGAAATCAAAACAGCTCAAGAGACGTTTCAAAGTAATCAGAAATAAACTGATTTTTATAGAAGGCTTCCCGGCCTGGGTGGAAGTTGTTTCCTCCGAGGGCCCCTTGCTGCAGGGGCCCTAGGGTGGAGGCCTGGCCCCTGCCCTCCCAGCCTGTGCCCTCCCAGCCTCGGCACCGGCTAGTCAGCCCCTATCTGCCCGCGCAGGCTTCGCCAAATCGGAAGAGCTCCCGTCCTCTGGTTTAGATTTCTGCTTCCGTTGACTGAATCTAGATGAACCTGCAGGGCCCGCCGCCTTCCCAGGACCTCAGAAGCAGCCATCCAGCGCTGGGCTCTGCCTCTGGGGACCACCTCTGACTCCTTACCCATCTCCCTACCTCCCCAGACACATTCCTGCTGGGGACACCTCCAGGGCCCCCACCTCTTGCTGACCACCCTACTAGATTGGTCTCCCAAAGAAAGGGGCCTGTGACCTGGATTTCATTTAGATATCACTCACAGAATTTGCCTCCTGCCAAGGGCTGCCCTGAGCCCTTGACAATGAACTTATTTAATCCTCTTTTACTCCCCTGAGTTCAGCCGAGGAAGCAGCTGAAGAATTCACCTTAAACTGGGAGAGGGGGAGTGACTTGCTCAAGGTCACACAGCTAGTCAGTGCCACCACTTGGTTTCAAATCTAGGGAACCCAGCTCCAGAGCCTGAGGGCCTCGGAGCCATTCCATGCCCAGCTCGGGGCTAGCAAAGAGCGGTCACTGTGACATGTTGGTTAACTGGTTAAAGAGGACAGAGATAGCATTAGCGACCACCTCTTGGAAGACTCATGGTGAGATCAGCTGCTATGGTTCCCTGGGAGCAGGAAGGAATGACAGCTGGGCCCTGGCCAGTGGTCTGTCCCTCTGGCCCCACTCTGCTGCTCTCAGAGGACAGTTTATTCCAGAAACAGTGGGCAGTGGAGAGACCCGGCAGGCGGGTCACCCAGAGCCACCCTGGACTACTACCCTGCCCCACCCACAGCTGCACAGGGTAATAGCAAGGAGTGTTGCCCAACATCTGTTGGCGCTTACTCTGTGCCAGGGCCAGCACTAAACATTGTCCCTTCAAATCCCCTTCTGCCATTTTCCAAGAGGAAATTGAAACCCAGACAAGTCCAGGACGTCACCCACCTAAGACCTCCCCCAGAGTAGTGTGGAGTGCT